AAAAAAATTCAATCCAGGTACAACGAAGTTGTAATTATGTACAAATCGGTTGCGTATAGGAAGATACATGCACTCATCTTCTACACACTTAAGTACGCGTGTCGCGTGCACGAGTGCTGGTGCTGGTGCAAGTGAGAGCGAGAGCGAGAGTGCGAGTGCCTGGTGCTGGTGCACGCGACCTGTTTCGTAAACGATAAGAATATCCTATGTCACCGATTCCTAGGGTGCGGCTGAACAGGTTGACAGCCTGACTCGGAAATTGAGCAACATTTCCCTGAAAAGTTGACGCGCCGTTAAAATATAATAACGTTGTACAGCTTCTCTCTGTCTATGCTTATCCTATATCACATTTGTAACGCGTAATTCAACGCCCTCCGCGCGTTCCATCACTCTCGATCCTCTTCCCCGCATCCGCGTTATCAGTCGACCGGCATTCCATTCGAATTCTCTTCCTCTCTTCCTTGGACTAATTCGAAAGCACGTTTGACACGCGTATCACGATTTTCGATGAGAAAACGCCGCGATGCATCGCGATGCAACGCGATCGTCCGGCAAGACGATCACGAGCACGCGAAGACGTGGCGGACAACCTTTGTAGTCGCGTCGACGATGAGAAAATCTCTCCACGTCACGTCGTAACGGGCGACGTTACACGTTCGCCTTTTCAATCGATCGCATTTAGGTTCGTGTCCGTGGCGGTGGATTCCCTGGTCGTCGATGTCGGCGTCGATGCTGGCGTAGACGTTGGCGTCGGCATCGGCGGTCCCGACAGCATCATCTTCTCCTTGAGACATTGGTATTTTCGTAATCGGGAGGCCGCGTAATCCTGCAACGCGCATGACACATGACTGTTACCAACGGATGAATCACGGTGGAAGATGTTGCGCCAACATCGTTAGCGGCAGCTTCGAACTTACCCAGTATCCGAACGGTATTTCGGAAAGTTTCGCGTTGACGATGCTCCACAGACCCCAGAACAAATGACTGGCCAACGAAAATATTTTGATTTCCGCCATCGCGCGCTCTTCTTCCGACGCCCCTTCTTTCCCGACCGTTCTTAAATAACTTTTAATGAAGTTGAGCTGTCAAGAAAAAAACGAACCGATTAAACGCAAGCAAAAGAATGAGTTTGAAAGAGAGAGAGAGAGAGAGAGAGAGAGAGAGAGAGAGAGAGAGAGAGAGAGAGAGAGAGAGAGAGAGAGTAAAACAATCATCGAACGATACGTTCGCGTACGCGCATACACGCGTACTTGGTTAAATCGCGCGAATGAAAGCGACGGTCGAGAGCGAACCGCGGCAGGTTCGAATAGAAACACGTGCACGCTATGGTACGCGTGCGACGTACGCGTGTGCGCGCGAACGCGTAGACTCGTCGAGGAAAATTTGAGTAAATTTTTGCCAAAGAGAAGACTTTTTGACAAGCGCGTATGCATACGAATGTAGAAAAAACGCGTATCTATATGTTAGCACGGTACATATTGTAGTTAGCACTTGGCGGATCGAAAACTCGTGCGAATTTTCTCCGAATAGAACAAACATGGGAAGAAATACGCGGCTCGTGGGGGGAAAGGATATTCTAAAATACCGCGGAAAGCGGATATGCTGTATAATTTGCGTTTGCGGTGATTTTAGCGAAGTGTCTTAATTGGAAATAACGCGGTTTTACCACCCATAAGACACTGTACATTTATGGATCGACTATCGAGAGTGCGTGTAGAAGAAGTACTCTTAGAGTCGTAGATGCGCAGGTACGGGACTGATGTTGCAAAGATGAGTGATGATGGCACCGGTCGTTCTGGTTCCACAACGTGCGGTGCGAGACACACAGGATCCGTCATCGCATCGGCAGATCGATATGCCGTCCATTATTCCGAGTATTAGCCGATCGCAGGCATCAGCCTTGTCTCACCGAATCGTGGTCCTGTGAAACTAATATATACACACGCAGCACACGCCAACCAGTCCTCGATCAGCACTCGAAAGCTCTCGAATTCGCTCGACCGAGTATGTGCAATGTAGAACGTTACCACGCTATACGTATTCTTCTTCGCTATCGTCTCTTATGCGCTCGACGTCTTATCGTGTTGCGTCGAACGGTAGACTAGCTAGGGAGACTCCGACGGCTGGGACAAACGGGAGGAACGGCCAATGGCGTATGACGTATGGTATGCATGGTGTACGGTGTATGGTGTGATCCGTGGATACGTGTGACGGGCGATGATCGGCGACGGGTGTTTGGAGTGGATTTGCCAGGGCAAGAATTCAAAATACATCCTACTGGAACATGTTGTCGCGAACAAGATTGAGAATCAGCGTCGAAGCTCCTGCAGGACATTTGGATCGATCGAGCTGGCATCGTCTTCTACCGAATGAAACGTTTGTTCGCTGAAAGTCAGCGCGGAGGTGTGTCGCTGGACAATTTCGAAGCCAACATGTCCTGCAAGACAACGGCGGAATCCTCTCCGAACCGTGGGAATACCCAAGTAAACGCGTAAAATTCGCCGCGCGGCTTTGCCAAAGGGAAACCGTTTCTCCGTGTTCCTTTTCATCGACATCGCGTGTCACTGGAACGATTCGGTAGAAAGCCGGACAGTTTCCCCGTTACAAATTTCTCGATTTGTCAACGTTTGCTTCGAACTCCGATCGGGCCGAACGCCTAGCTACTGAAATTTCATTGATTCCGCGAGCATCGAAACACAAGTTCTATCGTGGTCGTTATCTCGAATCGTTACTCTTATCGTTGTCGTTATCGTTGTCGTTATCGTTATCGTTATCGTTACAGATACATCATCGACGCTTATCGTTGCGATACGAATCGCGTACTCGTCGTCCGATTACGTACGAAACGCGAACATCGAGTTTCCTTTTTAATCGAGGAACGAATCGGTAAGCAAAAAAACACGTATGCGTACGCGTTTACGTGGGACGCGTGCGTATACGTGACGAAGGATAGGAACGTCTTACCCCTCTTCGAATAATCGCTAACGGTTCGAGTATTGGAGCCGTCGATCTCCGACACATACCTTCTGCTCTTCCGTAGGTCCGGATCCGGAGCGTTCGTGAAAGAAAGGATATTCGGCCGCCGTGTAATCGTATTGCCACTCGACGAAGTGATTCGCTACATCGAATCCTCGATAGTTGTACGAACAGTACTCGAAGTCGATCAGAACCAGTTCCGGTTTACGCGTGTTCTGTCTCAACAATATGTTACCTTCCTGCATGTCGTTGTGGCAAAATACAACCGGATGCTTCTGTCGCGTCGCGAGAGACCTGAAAACGCATCAACAACGAATCGTATCGTTTCTTTCCGTTATCGATCGTCGACGATACTCGTCCATCGTTCTTTTATCGAAGGCGGTTTCCTGCTTACCTGAACCAATCGATCTCGTGCTCCAGGTCGATCGATCGTATCGCGTTAACGTTCTTCGCGTGTCGGTCGTCTATATCTTCGACGTTTTCGAGAATGTCGTTAGCGGTGTCCAACCATTTGCTCATGGTGTCCCAGAGCCAGGTCGGCTCTTTGCTTATGGGCACCTGCATCATGTGAATCTGTCCCATTTTCTCGGCGATCATCGAGCTCAAGGTCGGATCGGCCAATTCCTTGGTGAGCAGCGGCCTGGCGGGTATGTACTCCTCGATGCGACCACCGGGGAATATGCCGTGCAACTTCGGCCCGAGTTGTCTTTCGGACAGCAACGTGAAGATCACGGACTCTGTGATCAATCCTTCGAGCGCTCTCTCCCCGTGCACCTGGCCGTACAACCGCAACAGAACTTGCCGCGGTTCGCCGCGGATCGGAACGGCTCCGCTCGGAAGTTGAACGTTGTACAACCAATTGCTGAGACCGCCGCTGCAACAAACATTTCACGTTATACCGTTTGTCCTCGCGTAGAGCGTTGCCTGTCCCGCGGTAGACGGGACACTCTACCCCACCCCCGTAATTATGATCGCGAGACGAGAATACGCGCGTTCCAAATACCTTTGCTTCGCGCAACCAGGCCCGTTGCTCGGACAACAACGCTGTTTTCCCTAGCCAGTGTGGCCCGGTCTTCCACTCACCTGATACGTTTCAGAGCGATATTCTCCGCTGTAACATGCTTCCAAACTCCGTGGAGGTAATCGCGACATATGCGTGCTGCCATTTCCCGCATCTCTGGGTTCTCCTCGGACATCTAACGCATAAAACATACGACGCGATTAATCGAGCGTTCGACCAAAAGACCGGCCATCTTTCACGCGTGTACGCGCGCGTTATAGCGTAATAATAGCCAAGTTCGAGAGTAGGCTGAAATCGAAGCTTCGAGGTCGTCGCGAGAAGCTTTTCGCGGCGCCTTTCCGGTGCCGGTCGGATCGAGCCCCCGTTCAAAATCAACCTAAAAAACGCGCGACGCATACGTGCGAGCGCAACGATGCATACGTACGCAAACACACTTGTAGGAGCAAACGATCCGTTAACGTCGCATCGACGTCGCTTCGCGCAGGGCGAACGTGGCTCTCTCCTTGTTCTCTTTCCACCCTTTCGACCGTGTTCTACCTTTCTATTTTTCGATTCTTCTACTATTTACGAGTTGCAACGACCGGACAATGTTGCATCACCGATCGACCGAAAAATCAAGAGCGACGGAAACGAACGCCGCGAACGCGCCGCATCTTTAGGTCTCGCCGACCTGCCCCGATAATGGTCGAGCAGACCTGCGCGAAACTAACGATCGATATTTCGTCCTGCGTATTGCCATCGTCGTGTTCCGCGACGATTTCGCGTTCGTTGGGGTATCGGCGTTTCTATCGTTACCAATTATCGACGATCGCCGGTCTATAAAATATAAATACGGTCGTTTCGTTCGGGGTCGTCCGGCAAAGGGTGATATCTCGCGATCGTTCGACAGTCCTTGCGACATTTTGTCGTCGCGCTCGTTTCGGTATCGAGCGCGACGATGCACGCGTGTTTATATCGACTCGGACTTTTTCAACCTTCCTACTTGCTATTTACACGATTTACTATTTACGCGATACGCACCGTGTCACGGTCATTGTTGCACCGCTGGCCTCGTGACAAACATTGTTAAACTGCGAGCCGCGCCGCGCCGCGCCGCGCCGTACACACCCAGATCTAAAACGCTCATTTCCAATTTTATCGTGAAAACTAATCGTCCGTCGTTGGTAAACATTCTATAGAATAATGTTTGTTATATAAGATTGCTACACGAAAGCCGAACAGACGCAAATGTTCGATCTAGCAGCCGCAGCCGCGCCGATGGTAATTATTTTGTGCTCCTATCGAGCGGAACGCGGAAACAACTATAATCTACATTCTACGTCTGCAACGAGGGTTCCGGACGCAACGCATCGCCAAGTTCCATTTGCGTTTATCGTCCCGTGGCACGACGATGTATCGATCGATCTTTTGTTCCTTCGGACCGCGAACGGAACGATTCGTACGCGTTTTCCTCGAATTCTCGGCATTCTCGGAATTCTCAGCAATTTTCTCACCATTACGTAATCTTAACGAGAACTCGAGTTCCGAGATGGAAGCAATTATCGTTTGATGAACGCGAAGCGAAGGCCGCCGTACGATTTAGTTTTCTTTCTCGAAGCTCTGCACGTCGTCGACGACGAAGGGAACTCGGATGCGCCTTTTTCGATCGGTTTCCATCTGTTCAACTACTTTTATTTATTACACTGTGTCGCATCGTCGGTACATTATGTAAAATACGTAGGTTGTATCGTATTAGATTATATTATGTTACATGATAATATTATACTATACTGTATTATATGTATGTATGTATGTATGTATGTATGTATGTATGTATGCGATACGTGCGAGCACGTATGCGTCGAATTGTTTCCTACAGATGATAAATGCTGCGAATGGAAAAATGTTTGGAAAACGTTTCGTCCGCGTTTTCCAGCTGCGGATCGAGATTCTGAAAAGAGACTGAATTCCGTTAGCATCCCCTAACGTTGCCGCGCGATCGGTCAAATTCCAATCGACCGGGCCGTCCTACGAATTAGCGAACAAATTATGGAATCATTTAAAAAGTATTTACGCGCTCCGGTATTCGTATCGCGAGCACGCGTGTATCTACGTATTATGGTGATCGTGGATCGCGGCTCCGGCGCTACGAGTGGAAAAATTGTTCGAGGAGGGTGTGATCGAGAGACGTTGCATCTGCGTAGTTTCAGATATTTTCCTCGATCGAATAATATACGAGATTTCGAGCTCGACTCGTAATTAGAAGTCTGTAAACGCTTTCGTAGCCGCGTACATGTTTATTTCGAACTACCGCGGAAACGCACAGATCATGCCTGGATAAAGAAGTATAATATTTGATTAGAATTTAGTCGCGCCTGCTTATCCTTCGAAGATAACGCGTTCGACTCTCCGTCTATCGCCATGTTCCTATGTAATCGTACGCAATCACGGCACGGCACGGCACGGCACGGCACGGCACGGCACGGCACGGCACGGCACGGCACGGCACGGCGTGGCACAACAAAACTAAACGGCATTTAGCGATTTAACGACGAAATAAGAAACGAGAGAATAATATCGGATACGAAGTTCCGATAGAATAATCTGCCGGAGAAACGGAAATGAAAAGAGAACGCGACGAAACGATACGATTGTTTACGCACCTTGTATCCCAAACCCATTTTTGTTGTTGTCGGTAACTGGTAATGCTTGGAACGACGCGGCACAGCTCCTGCCTGGTTCCCCTGCACTTTGACTACTCTGCCGTAGTCCGGGAGCAACTAAAAAATTGTCCGAGTTCCAGCAACCGTTGCGCGAATAAGTTGTTATTCGCTGCGTTGCTGTTCGTTGTCTGCGTTCTACTTTCCGCTTTGTACTGTCGCCGTAAAAGGGTTCGGACGGTATTTCGAACGGTGCTCCCACAAATTTGTTACGGGAACGAGGTTAGAATGCTAAAAAATAGCTCCAACAGTCTTGCGAGGACAAGTTTCCGGGCCTTGGAAATGCGAGACGATTGTTCCGTCAAAGGACGACGGATATTCACTGGCGATCGTGCGGACGTTCGAATCGATTTCGATTCGGTCACCGTTGCTTCTCGATATTTCTCGACAAAGCACGAGCAACCGTTACACCTACGTTAAATGTATCGACTCTCGAGATCGACCACTGCGAACACAAATATGCGATCCGCGGGTATTTCTTCCCACCGAGCAAAGATTTTTCTACGTGCGAGTAGAGCGCAAGTAAGTTTTTTTTCGTAATTCGAGATTCGAGATACGGATTCGTTGAAGCACAACTACAGAAAGAGAATACCGTCCGCGTATGCGTACACGACGTCCGTGTTCGTGCACAGGTCAACACGAATATGCGCTATCGAAAGAGAGATCGAGACGGGACACGCAATTCCACCACACAATTACAAGCGGCAGCCAATCATCGTTCAATCTCGTTCCCACTTCTCGGTGGTGTCTCGGCGACGGCAACGCCACCGTCGTTGCGCGTCCTATGTGTGCTTCTTCGTACGTGCACGAGCAATGTCGAGCTTACGTATGCATCGAGGAATGTATTTGCTACGAGCTCAATGTTTCTACCTTACACGTAGACGCGTAGTCACCCGCTGGTACGCTTGCGCGTCCACATTTCACCTATCGGAATACAATAAAGCACGGTTGGTCAACGAAACACCGGCGTTTCTACCCATTTATCGTTCAATTCTGCAATTTTAATCAGATTTCAGGTCAAATTTCGAGAAGGAACATCGCGCGAACGTGCGAGATTAATGCGCGAGCCACGGGAGCCGTAGGAGTGGGAAAGAGCCAGATTTGGCACACGGGCTACGCTCGCCCTTGCCCGATTTACATTGTCCGATCTTGTATTCGAAATCAAGGTTTCCCGTGCACGAGTAAACAACAACCAATATTCTACACATGTATCTACAGATTTTGAAATATTTGCATCGCGTTCTCATATACAAATACTTTCGTTGTTAATCATTATTGTCCGATACATACATATACATACCGATGCACACATTGAACGATAAGGGTCTCCAACTGCCTGGATACGTAGAATCGTTGAGTTTGCGCAGTTTCGTTTGTGATAACGTATCCATGTAACGATGCGGAACATTTCTAATAAATTAGTCATCGTGTTGTAAAAAAGTAATTGCTTTTACAAATTATACCAAACACGACGTAGGGTACTATCTAATATCAACAAAAAGCCGACGTGTACAGTCATCGATCGTCCGATCGAATCCAAGAAAATTAATCGCATATTTGGAACTTCAACCAGCGATCTATACAGCTTTATACACACATACGTATGCAGCTATATTTGTCGCGATGCTTGTCGTCGTAAAGAAACATTTTGTTTGGAAAATTTTGCGATCATATAGATAGAGGAAACTGTCGCGTGGAGATATCGTGAACATGCTGTGATCGGTATTTCACGTAATGGATAACAGAGATTAGATAAGCTGTCTTTCCTTTTCACTTGCAAAAGTTCAGAACTTTGCTTAGAAGTATTAAACTAGCTAGAATCGTCTTCTCCTGTCTATAACCCTTTGTACAAACAATGAAATGCCAACAGTGCATATACGTGTATGCGATTGCATCGCGATACGTACAGCGTTTCAGAGAGAAAATATTGCGAGGAAACTATGTCAACACTTGTTTGGTCTACCGTGTTTTGTCTTGACAATGGGAAGCGTAGATGAACTGCGAGTTTCGTAATACATACAATGATATCGAAATGGTACGGTGAAAACGTAGTTTCGTAATATACAATCTCTATAGCTGGATCTGATAAACGTGCTAAAGCAGCAGGTCGATAATTTCAAGCTTATATCGTTTAATCATTGATTCCCGCTTCTATTCCGAGACAGTAAAGCGACGTAGGAACTGCTGTAAGTAATTCTGACTATTTCGAACAGTCGAAGGACATTTTAGTATTACACGAAACTATAGATACATAATAAATAACTACACCGTGGCTGATTAAAAATTTGTAGGTTTTAGCAAAACATCTAGAAAATACTTTACCTGTCTCGAGTACCGAACGATTCAAATTTACCGCCGTTAGTGGCGCCTCTCGCGGCAACACTATGAAGCTTTGTCGGCGTCCGTACAGCGCCAATTAGTCCCGTGGCAAAACGCTCAAACTGTTAGCCAAAATCAGCTGTCGGTAATATTGGCTAACAGTTTGAGCGTTTTGCCACCGGACTAATTGGCGCTGTACGAACGCCGAAAAGAGCTTCGAGATTTCGCCGCAAGAGGCACCACTGTCGCCCGCACTCGCAGAACGCATGGTCGCCGAAAAACATTAATTACGGCAATATTAAAGCACAGAAATATAAACCAAAGCTACGGAATCGTTCAGGAGAATCTACTGCATCGATATCACATTAAAAAACAGATCGCAACATTGCGAAACATAATTAGTTGCGTTTTGAAGTTTGATTCACTGTTACGTTAATTACTCACATTTTGTAACGTTGTCATCCGCTTTCTTCACGCGATATCGACGCAGCAGACGCTCCTCTATAAAGCTGTGCCCTCGGTTTATCGTTTTATGCCCTACTTTTGCCTTAATTAATATTTTTCGGCGATTCTGCGTTCTACAAATGCGGCCGACAGTGGCGCCTCTTGCGGCGAAATATCGAAGCTCCTTTCGGTGTTCGTACAGCGCCAATTAGTCCGGTGGCAAAACGCTCAAACTGTTAGCCAAAATTTTGGCTAGTAGTTTCAGCGTTTTGTCACCGGACTAATTGGCGCTGTACGGACCCCGACAATGCTTCGTATTGTTGCCACGAGAGGCGCCACTGACCGGTCGACGGCGGTAAATTTGAATTGTTTCGAACTAAAGAAAAACAACAAGCTTTGTAGAGGTATAAGAGAATCCGAAAATTGTCAGGGTCGAGTCGAGAATTCAGGAGTTTGTTTTTGTATGCAGGCAGATACGTGAGTAGAAATTCAGATTTCATGTATAAGGAAATTTCACTTTCAGAGCATGATTGTTCCGATTCTTTTTTGTTAAAATAAAGTTAATAAATTTGACATGTCTACGTTTTCAAAAACAAAAAACATTCTGTTTATTTTCATGAAGCTGCGAATCGTCAAGGTGAATCGTATAAGTATTTTGCTGCGCGCGCGGTCTTTCCGTTTACAAAATTAAATATGTAATAAGGGATACGTCCAATGAGTTGTATTATGCGTGTTTGTTTACATTCAAACATACATTTGACCTTTGATTACAGATCCATTACTGATTTACACAGAGTTGATTTTGCTTGCGCACCTTACTGTCGTTGCATTCGAAATTCTGTATACATATTCGTACAAGATATTTCGTGATCGTAATCATCTCGAGATCCAAGAACAGACATTGCGCTGTCCAAGTTGTAACAATATACGTACAGAAGAATATACGTACATACACAGATTCATACACTCGTATAGACTCGTATAGACTCGATTCAGTCGATTGTTTGTCTCTATTGCGCCTACGTGTCTCGGTTGATTCTTTTGTTTGTGTAGTTTACACACTTTTACGACGCAAAATGAATTTCACGATTCTTTAAAGTTAAAGCTATTTCATCGTACCGTATCGTCAACGTTCTTACGACCATTGCACAAAATAAACCCTTAACTACTTTGTACAAATACAATATAGGTATGTATAACTCTATGCGCGAATTTGGTTTTAGTAATGGAATACTAGAGGATCTACTTGACTAGTTTTATGCATCACTAGATTCCATTCCACTGCGAATTCGTAACTGTCTGGAAAAATCACGTTACCGGGAAGTGCAAGACAAATACGCGTAATTCTATTACATATAAATCTAACTGTAGCTTTTTTCGAGTACTCTGTTTACGTGTCTGATATCGTTCCTCTCTCTGTTTCCCTCGACAAATTTCTCACAAACGCAGATAGTTCTTTAACGCGCCCGGTTCGTTTCTTTCGTCGATATTATTGTTAGCGAACCCCCTTCCCCACACGTACGATGGTGGTTTTTCAAAGAAATCGTGTTCCCCTGTATGCACGTGTGCACGTATATGTACATGGCGCGTACGTACGTTTCGGAGACAATCGAACATATCCAAACGAAATCGATCCAAAATACCGAACTGAAATCACAGTAACGCGTGTACGCGTAACCGATTCTATATCGGTTTTCAACTAGTTTCCGATATATTCAATGTCGCTAACGTAGAAGTAGAGTCGCTAAAGTACATAGAACGGAATCGATACAAGCTCTTTTCATCGTACAAACTATCGAAAGTTCCAACGAAATAAACGGAAAAGATCAAGCTACGTTTTAGGAAGAATTTGTTAAGCGTTATCGGTGATGTTTCGACGTCTCACAAAATGAACAGGAACGGCACGTTATAGTAACTCGTGAAGAGAAGGAAACGAGAAAGAGAAAGAGAGAGAGAGAGAGAGAGAGAGAGAGAGAAAAGCAGAGAGAAATGAGGAGACAGAGAGAGAGAGAGAGAGAGAGAGAGAGAGAGAGAGAGGGGCAAAGACAGACATAGATAGATGGAAAGAAATGTGTGCAGGAAGAATTTGTTCCCGTCGTTAACGCGGACAACTTCCCCGACATCTTTTCGAAAATGCCGTTATCGCATTGTAGCAACGTGCATCATTTACACATAATCATTAATATTTATTGTAATTATCATCGGACGCATTTAAGGACTAGGAAGTGTAATCTTTGAAGCACCACCAATTCATATAATGTTCGCGATCCGCGAGAGAATTCTGCATTAGAAATAAATGATACGCTCAACGCATACGGATGGACTGAATATAATCGTTAGACGAACGCGCAGATGCGTAGACGCCTAGATGCGTCGAGCTAAAATTACGAAAATTTCTCGAATCTAATCGAACCGTGCTGTTCCGAGAACGTGTAACGTTCGTAAAAATAATTAGAATCGCTTGCTCGTACAGAAAAGCAATTTCAACTTGTGGATCGTTATTTCTTGTTCGATCGATTATTCCGTTGAGTTTGTTTTACGCTTCGAGGCTGAACGATCGTTCGGCGGCGCGGCGGTGTTGTACGAGTCTCGTACAATCCAATTGCCGTAAAATGGCCAGTCACGGATGGTTTCTTTCGCACTACGCGGAAAGAAAAGCTCCGCACATTCGACGAAACAGCAGATCGCAAAGTTCTGCCGTGATCGTGATCGTGATATTATAAAGAAACAGATCGGTTTCCTTCTCGTCGTTGACGCTGTACCTCACGATTCTCGGCTGACTATCGTTGCGTCCGGTATAGGTCGAAATCTGCGACATCTGTAAATCGGACCCCGCACGTAGATGTATCGTGTGTATCGACTGTCGGGTCTATCTACTCTAAGAAACGTACCTGGCATTATTTTCTGCAACATGAGGTGGCAAGGACGTGGGAGGTGGCGGAGGCTGAGCATTCGGTGGTCCACTGCTTTCGGAATCGCTGTTGCTACTCTCTTCCGTTTGCTTGGCTGCTTCTCCTAGGAGGTGCGACGGTACTCCTCTCGGAGAAAAACGAGACAGTATTTCGGAATTAGGTCTGACCATGCGCTGCAATCTCGTTTGGAATCGCAGATTTCTTTGACTAGCATCCGTCACGTATTTCTCGCTTTCCCTTCGGCGACGTAACGCAGGGGTGCATCCGGTCAAATTTATGTCTTCCGTCGAGTTAGCCGACGTTAACGGCGAAAAGATCGGTCGTGCGTCGGGCAAGGTTGCGCATCTGCGTAGTTGCTGGGGCTCCCAGATCCTGGCCGCTGTCAAGGGTTTGCCTTTGATAGCTAAAATTTGCCAATGTTAGTATCGATTCGAATCGCTATACCCGCGGCATTATTTCTGACAAATCAGCTCATCCGAAACAAATACGGTTAACCAAGCGCGCGCAGACCTTCCTTTCCATTTCCTTCTCCTCCTTTCTCGCCTTTCTATCGTTCGACTTTACTTTTCTAGCTCGTTCGCGTTTGCCTGGACCGTACGACCGTACACGCAAAGACTTTGGAAAAGAAAACGAAAAGTTCATCGAATGGCCTGCCGTTCTTGGGACTATAGAACGCGCCCCGATCGAAAAACTTTGGAAAATTCTCGACTACGGAAAATTAGCGAAACAACCGTGATGCAGCTACTTGTACGGTAACTCGAGACAGGATTCGTAAATGTATCTACATTTTTCAATTATAATACGTACAATCGAGTATATTATCGTGTATTCTCTGAATTTTTTCTGAATTTTCTCTGAATTTTCTCTGAATTTTCTCTTAATATTCTGTTACCATCCTCTTTTTGTAAGCGTTCGTTATCCTTGAAATTGTGGCAACGATTACGATCGACGGGGAGACACGCGCGTGTCCCGCTTCGATATTACTTTTAATTGCATTAGTTCGAAAATCTAATAGCAAAACGGAACAGAATAGAACGAAACTACGTGAAATATACAGTGAGTCGCGCGAGTCGCATCAGCGATCCTCGAAAGAGAATCGTACGATTACAATTTAATCGAAAAAAGGCTTACTAACTAGCATCTATTTGCCTGGTTATAGCCGCGGGTGTAGACGATTTTTCGATTTCGTTAGCCACGCAAGTCCTGGTATTCGGAGTATTCGTTTCTGGAGTAGACTCTGATAGCGAACATCTGGGACTTTTAACCGGGACCGGTATTTTACTGACAGTGTTATAGATCCTACAAGGAGCTTCCTTTTCTTTATTGTTCTTATATTCACGAGTGGCTACTATGTTCGATATAGTGGCCGAGACGGTTGTGGTATTGTTTTCCTTATGTGTCGATACGACAGCATCGGCAGGTGGCCGATTCTCGACAGCATCGTCGTATACCGACGACTCTTCCGATCCTGGATTAGGGCCAGCTGGACTATCCACTGTACCGTTTGCCATGCTTCCTGTCGAACCACAAAATTGTTGTCTTCGTTGCCGAGAAATGTGTGTTTGAACGAAGAGAAAGTTACTGTGAAACGAAGTGTCTGCGATGCTAGAAAGCTTGTTTCTTTCGGCCAGATGGATGATGAGGAAATAAGGCGAAAAAGAAGCAGGCAGGCGCAAACATATATTATAGTAGATTAAATAAATTGGCCGGTTCACGTTAGGCGTAAAAGGGCTCGCGGGAGACACGGAAAACACGGAAAACGCGGTGAACACGGTAAACACGGATAACATGGTAAACACGGAAAACACGGAAGACACGGGAGATAAGAGAGAGAGAGAGAGAGAGAGAGAGAGAGAGAGAGAGAGAGAGAGAGAGAGAGACGGGGAAGACACGTGTAATCTATCGCAGCAAACAATTGGCATGCTTACTCTGCAACGGTTCTCTGTCGGTGGTAGTTTGCACAACGGTAGCACCAGCCGTCGCGTCCACGACCCTAATTTCCAGTCTACCCGCCACCGCACCCGTCTCTTCTTCTTCCCCGCCGGGTGTACTAGGCATTGTGTTCGGGGGTGAGAAAGCAACCGCTGGTACGCTCGCTCGTCGGGGCGGCGGACTTTCTCTCGGTTCGTCGTAACGCGTTGCGATGTTCCTCATTACGTCCACCTCGTAAAACAGATCGTCGAACGCCGCTTGTTGTACCTGTCCCAAAATAAATTGGTGCATCGATTCCAATCAAATTCAAAATACCAATAGATGTATCTAGGACAGATGCGTATATACGAACCAACGGGGCTTCGAGATTGGCGCGGACATGCGGCGCCAACGCTGGCACGCTCCAAGCACTGGGGAGCGCCCCTTGGAGATCCGGATATTTCTCGATGCCAGCGATGTTCAAGCATCGATGAGGAACCGAAGGTTTTGGAGAATCTTCGCTGATTCGAGACAGGGCGGAAGGTACAATTGAATGCTGATGAGACACAACCGACGTGGCTGATTGAACCACCGCTGTTTTCGCATCGATAGACGCAGGCACTGAAGATGCGGTAGTCACAGCATCACTGACAACTGTCGACTGTATATACAAGTGTGGTAAAAACACGAAACTATTGCAAAACTATCGTTGTATATGCACATGTAGGGCGTATGTATACGTCTGTTGAATCGTTGCTTCACTCAAACGAAAACATGTAGAAAAAGTGCAAGGAACTCGAAGGTGGACAAACAGGTGCACGCAACTCTTTCCGACTCTGCGTTTCTCGCTTCGTTTGATATCCTCTTTCGTAACGCATGCGTCTCTACCAACTACGATAAACTACACGATAGAATCGAGTTATCTATAGGCATGTGCGCGCCTCCTCGTAAGGTTTTGCAATTTCTAGAGGCATGGAGAATCGAGAAGTAGTCGTAAACTGGTCTACGTAATAAAATATATATATATATATCACAGATATCGAAAAGACAGACAAGACGAGCGATGACAAATAATGCAGAAACACGCGTAAAGTTTCGAACGATGGCATATAAAGAGGGTCGATTCGATTCTGTGGCAGGTAACAACGGTCGCATCAAACGAGGGCATGGACGCTGCCCGGACTTGGCTAGAATGTCAAACATTTCATCCGTAAGTTGATAAAGAAATATACATTTCTTCTTGTATCGTATGTCTTCTTTTTTTTTTCTTGTTCACCAAAAATATGTCTGCAGGGAATTCGATACGATCCAAGGAAAATTTCAGATCAAATTTACCTGCGGAACTATAACTGGCAAGTTGGCCCCTTTATGTTCAGGACTCTGTAAGTTTTCTCCTTTCCATTCGTTGTCGGTCTCTTCGGAGTCGTCGAATTGCGATTTCCATTGAGAGGCCAACGTTAACCCACCACCGCCTTTGGTTACTTGTTGTAACGCGGATACGTTGTCGTCGTCGATCTGTGCACACTGGGTGATAGAGTAGTCTCTTATCGCCGCACGGCTGGCTCGTGTTTGTTGTCGACCGTCCGTTCGTCTACGGAGTTCCCTCTTCAGCGGTTCTCTTTGTTCCGTAACCTGTCGGAGTTAACTAATTGTTAGACAACGATCAAGTTGTGTAAACTCTTCGAATTCGAACGAACACGGTCGATCGATACGTACGGGACTCTGATTGCCAACGTATTTTGGATTGGTAACATCGTAGGAACAATAAGAGGCATCGACTTCGGTTTGCACTCGAGGACTGGGTGGCTCTTCGGTTGTCGGTTCGGGTGCGGGCCTCACCCGTACTCGAACGAAGGCACCGCTCTGTGATTTTCGCAACGGTGCCGGCAGCTTCGCGCTAATTTTATTTCGGGTCACTTCCGAAGCGGAACGGGCAGACGCCATCAGCGCATCCCCTTCGTTGTCCACGGGCTTCTCCACCGTCACCACTCCAGTTTGCGGTTCGGCGGCCATCGAGACTGCGCGCCGTTTCTTCGGCGAACCTGCAAGATCCATATAGACGCAAGCATGTAAAACAGGGGACCGGAAGAAAGATAGAAATCTATTCGTTTAATTGAAAAAGTTTTGCGACCGTGAGTCGTCGGTGGAAGAACAGCTTGCTGCCTGTTCTGCTGGTGATTGTTATCGATCGTTGGTATCGTGGCGTTGCAGTTCTTGTCGCGACCATGATTGCTATTGGCTGATGTAAACGGTACCGAAGATGCTTCCACACCGCGTTGCTTGTTCCTTCTGCATATACTTTCGTAATCCATTTGTGCCTGGAAAACGGCAGAAAATAATAGCAAGAGGTAACTGACACGGTTAGGGGCAACAAGGCGCCCGGTAACCCGTTCAGTTTGCTGTTAGCATCGTTGCGTCTTACGTCTAATTCTTTCCTGTTGTCGGGTTCGACGTTTTCTTGATTGTTCGTGTCGACGTTTGGCGTGGGCGGTGGCTGATTGATCGTGGTTGCAGTAGTCAGTACAGGAGGTACGGTAACCGTTGGCAAAGACCTGGTAGTTGACAAACTTTCGTTGGCTATCACCGCTCTTTCCCAGTCGTAAGGATCGTTCGTCTTCACGCCTCTCCGTTTCATGCAGCGCTCGAACAATCCCGCTAACATCTCATAGTCTGGTTTGTCCGCGTATTCCAAACTCTAGAATAGTGTTATTCTATAATAGATATATCGAGTACTAAAAATTTCCTAACGATCGCGTGTCGCCATGGTTTTTCAAACACGTACCTGAATATGTTCCAGGAAACCTCGAAAATCGGATGGAAGGTGTTTTAAAAGTAAATGATGATCGAACCGCTCTTTCATGAGACCCACCTGAGTTAAACGAATTACATATTATCGATTAATCGGCCCAACCGATATTTCGAACGACGTGCTCCCTTTAACGTACCTGTTCTTTGTCCTTTATTTTCCGCCATGGAAGTTGTCCGTTTACAAATTCTACCAACATGTAAAACAACGACCACAAATCATCGTGTCTACCCATTTCTTTATTTTTGTGTGCATTTACGGATGCGTAACGGACGGTTCCTCTAAATCCTGCCGCGCTGCGAGGTGGTCGAACTTCGCCGGTGGTAGTTGTAAATTGACGAGACAGTCCAAAATCCAGCATGTACACCAGCATCGAGTTATGCGGAAGTCGTCCGATTGAAAAATTTGACTGCAAGCATACCCACAGAAATGTATATGACATACGTGTAATTTTGAAACACGGTATCACGGCGAACGTTCGTAGGTGTCCTATAGTACAATACCATACCAAAATCGTGCTCACCGGTTTAATGTCCCTGTGAAGAAAACCTACTTCGTGTATACTTTCTATCGCTTGAAGAATTTGAAGTCCTAAACGAAGAGTGGTGGACAACGAAAATGCGCCTCTTGGCTGAGCACGACGTAATTCAGCCAAATTTTTGCCTTGCAATTGCATCACAACATAATTGAATCGATCGTTTCGACCACAGCCGATAAATCTGCATACGTGTTCCCTACCTGCGATAGATGCGATCGTTTATATTTGCGCGCATAGAAAATCATAGATGCTAACATAAAATTCTAACAAACCCTGAAGCTTCTTTAATACGGCTACTTCCATCTTAAGAACTTGCTTTGGCTGTCGAGCAGATTCAACTTTTAACGCGACTAGCTCCTTGGTCATTAAATCTACGCCTTCGTATATCTCCCCGAATCCTCCTCCCCCTATTTTTTTAATCTACAGCGTGAAAAGAACGGTAACATGTAAAATTGATAGGAAGAAGGAGAAGATGTATACGTTGAGAGAAAGAAAAGGATAAATGAATTAAGCGACTCACAACTTTCCAACGTTCTTTGACCACATGGCCAGGCTGTAACAAATCTTCACTCGTCATAGTTATGTTATTATTCTGGTCCGTACTTTCGTCGCCTACATTCCTCAGCAGCACATTGGTAGAATGAACGGGATGCCTGAAAAATGCGAGCGATCCCTTATGCGTTGCGATTGAATCGAGATACGTAGAATCGTTCGCATACTGGATGCGTTTAGGCCTCCGTTGGCCTCTCTCGAGAACACGCGAAAAGACAACATATAATTAAATAAAAATAAATAGAGAGACGGAAACAGAATCGTAACGTGTGTCGACGCGACGTTACTGAAGAGACCGGAGGAACGGCTCGATACAACGAACTTTGTAGCTGTCAACGGGAGACAAGCGACACGCCCCGAAACCGTAATAGGTTAGGTTTTTAACCTAAAGCAGCGTATTATGGTAGAAAATTGGTCGATACCGAGCGCCCTGTGTTAGGCAGCCATGATTGCGTGCGAGCGAAGGGTACAGCGGATACGTAGGGAACGACGACCAACCGTTCTATCCGTCATGCGACAGCGTTCGGCCGTCACCCGTCACCCGTCACATTCGAGTTTTTCTTTTTCTTGAAAAATCGTTTGTGGATTATTCATCGTTTAGCGACAATCACACCTTTGAAACTTTCGAGCGATTCTTCCAGCAAGTCTACGAGTCGCTAAGTCGCGTTAACTCGCGTCAATCATTACGAACACAACCGAATGAATCCGAGTCGAGCAATGAAACTAAGAGAGGGAACACGGCTAAAGAAAATAATACATATATGTATGTATGTATGTAGTTCTATCCCTTTGGTTTCCTTGCTCGTCGCAATGTTGTATGAAACATTTCATGTTATAGAGCGTTTCATTCGTAATCCTTTCCCGCACACCCATCGATCCAGATTTCAATGAATTATTTCATTTTTACTAACGATGTTGTTCGTCGATACTGTTTCGAATCCTCGACGATGTTTCCTCGCGAGCAGAACTTTCCCCAACCAGTGTACAAGTCTCTTCACGATTGCACACTTTCCGTCCGCATCTTTCCTTTTCTCCTTTTTCCCCGATACTTCGTATCCGTATCACACGTATTTCGTCCCCTTCCCGCTAGTTTCACTCTATCTTCGCTTCACCCTTCCATCTTTCTTTCTCTCCTTTTGCCTTCTCACCCTCTCCCACTCTCCTAGCCCATCCCACCGTTTTCTTATATATCTCTCTCCCTCCCTCCTACTCCCTCTCTCACTCACTCTGCTCCTCTCTCTCTCTCTCTCTCTCTCTCTCTCTCTCTCTCTCTCTCTGTCACCCTTTCCCACTCTGTTGCGAGTTGATTCGACCCGAGCGAGAGACCCGACACCGACACCGCACGTTTGCTATTTTACCCTTTCTTTTTTTCTATTCTCACACGACATTTTATCTTTGCGATCACCTTGTTCGCGACGGTACAAAATGTATCCGATGTATCTGCGAGAACCGTAGCTACGTACTATTTCCCGTCAAACACCGATAGAACAGCCATTTTTCGATTTTGTACCACTACAGTCGTAATACTTGTAAACGCCGCAAGATAGCGACCTGAATGCTCGATCGATCTCTGTCTCTATCGTCCTCTCTTTTCTCACTATCCTTTCAAATATTTCAGGGTTTAATCAGTGAGTGACCATGTGAACTGTGAACGTTCTACTACTTACGTGACCGATATACCAGAGGACATGCATATGCATACTCGTATTTGTTTCTTTCTTTCTTTCTAATTTTACGCATTGTTGTATAATTGTGCATCGTACTGTAGATTATATGTACATTATAGATACATGTATTCGGTGAATTTTACTCTACGTCGTTCGCATTGTTCCAACAGAAAACATTTGAACTATTTTCTTTCGCGATAAGTCTCGCGACGCGTACAAAAATATACGATAGTTTGGAATTATTCATTCTCGAAACGAAGAAATACAGCTCAGAGATTAATAACTTCTTACAGAATCGAAACGCGCTCGTAAGGCAGTATAGTAAATACACATATACGTGTGTAAATACATAAATTTTCTTTGCAAATTGAGGTTATGCGCCGACCTACTGCCCTTCGAATTAATCAAATCTGAAAATGATCGCTCTCGCGGTATTACTTCTGACAGCAGATTAATATCGAGTCTATGAAAGTAATAGAAATCGAGAATTTAAAAATCTCTCTCGAACTTGTTCGGTCTCGCGTACGCGTACGCGCGCGTACATATATAATACGTATATGCACGCGTCGATACGATCGAAAGAGAAAGATCGTTCGTACAAATTTTCCTACATCGATTCCTGTTACAAGCTCGTGCTTTGTAATATTTCAAATTTTGTCGATTAGTAAATAATAATTAACAATAGCAGTAGCGGTAAATAATAACGTTTATTAGTAATGATAGCAACGATTAACAATAAAGTGATCGATCGTTGAATAAATGTTGCGTCGCGTTACGCCTGGTGCGATGCGATTTTGAATATCCCGCGTAACGCGCTGCGGTGCTAGACACGATTCGAAGTCCGTACCGTGAAGTGCCCGGCCCAAGTTTAATGATTATTCTCGCGCTCGACGCTCGTGGTTTACCGTTGTCGTTAATATTTCGCAGGAAACTTTCTCCACGACATATACTACTTACGCTATTCCACCTTCGTGCGGTAGAAATAAAAGTAAATTCGACCAAGACGGTATATGTATCTGTATCCCCTACCCGCGAAAAACGATGTATTTATGAGAAATTTTTATCGTAGTCATATTTGTACCACCTTATAATCTACAGTACGGTATTACCGAATGATGTTGCTTTTAATAGGTGGTGCTTAAATAATTCTGTTATACCGAACATGCGAAAATGTCACGTTACCGAATCACGTCGAAATCTACATCGCGCGTTAATTTGTACGATAAAACGCGTGAACCGATATTGCGGAGTGCGAACGGAGCGAATGATTTTATAATATATGTATGTATATATATATATATATATATTTCAACTAAATCGAATTTTTCATATTTATAATAACGTTGTTACAATGTGTTAAAAGGGCGAGCGTCTCGAAGCATGTATTAATCACAGATCTTGAATGTGTTGACGCAATAAAAGTACTATGTGTACAGCTTAGTTAGAACACATTTAGAATGCAGACTGGTACTATCTAGTCACCGACGATACTTCGAAGCGTGGGACACTTCTAAAAGGATAGAACTACGATTCTCTCATAAATTTTTGGCCAATTATACGTACATTACGGAGCAGAAACTTTCGGGCAGATTACACGGTACCAAAGACAAGTCTCGCTTGGAAATGGCAAAGAATACCGTTGCATGCTACCTATAAAATATGTATATGGGCAATGCATAACCTTCGTTCAGAAATATAATTCGTAACGTACGCATGCTGTTACTTTGTCACAATACGAATATAGAGCGAATACGAAAAGCTAAATCGAAAACCTTATTTACAAATAGCACCTGATCGACGCGTTTTCGTGCTGCCTCGCAAATTTTGGTTCGTATGGGATTTTACCCCGTTGAAAGCAAAATAAATTCTTATATGTATATACATATGCTGTACAATTTAAGTTTAAACATCTATTTTTAAACGACCCCACTTTATATGTGTACATATTACGCGGAGTAGCATCTTTCTCCGCGCCAAGGTACTTTTCGAGGTAGTTCTGTTGCTCTTTAGCCATCTATCTGCACGTCGGTCGAACGAAAAGATTGGTTTTTCGTATTAGTTTTAAACGGTCCACTATGTCTCTCTCTCTCTCTCTCTCTCTCTCTGCAACCGACGGCAACCCGTTCACCGCGTTATCGAAATGCATACATACACACATACATACATACGAATGATCAAGGCACGGATGAAGCGCGAATACGCGAGAAGCACGCGTGCGCACGTTCGTGCGTGCTCTCCAGGGCAATTAAAACGTATGTACTCGCACACTCCGGGCATGCTCTGCTTATGCAAACTGTACGAATATGCGTAAGGATAGAAAAACGGATGAAAAAGTTAGCGCAGTCATTTCAAAGAAGGAGAACACACTGTGAAACAAAACCGATTGGTCGAGGGAAACGAAAGAAAGAAAGAAAGAAAGAGGGCTGTGGTGGAGGGGGTAGCGGAGAAGTGGAGATACAACAAAGAGAGCAAGGGGGTACAACGGGAGAGCAAAAAGGATCGAATACCAAGTTTAAATCGTCTCGAAAGAAATAATGATCACGTACCACTTCATGGCTCCGAACGAAAGAGGGACTTGGCGATAAATAAAGGCAATGAAAAGATCGCGCCGAGTGGATAGAGGTGGTTACACGAAGATGACACAGAGCAGAATGATTACGGCGACGGCGATGGTAGCGTTGGTGGTAGCGTTGGTGGTAGCGTTGGTGGCAGTGGCGGTGGCGGTGGCGGCGGCGGTGGCGGTGACGAAGGTGTCGGTGACAGCGGCGGTGGTGACGGTGGCGAATCGACGCGTTGTTCAAAATCGAACACAAGATACGAACAGACGGTCGGGTAAACCGGATAGAATCGAAATCGAAACGAACATTGTACCGTGGAATCGTCCACGGCCCCTCCCATGCAGAGCGCGACGAACGATGATCGAGGACAATTTCTCGCGCGATCCGGGACCGAGAACACGAAGGGAACGGTTTTGGTTAACGAACCGATGGCTAAAGCTCTTTCGGACGAGTCGGAGTCGGAGTCGGAGTCGGGGTCCGAGTTCGAGTCGGAGTCAGAGAGCTCGAATGCGAGTCGCCGCGTTCCACTGGCATTGGACTGACACACGAGTATCGCTTTGTTCCTTTTCTTCCATCGTCTCCTTCTCTTTTCGATCCTCTCTCTCTCCCTCCCTCCGGCCGATGCGGCCTGGTGGTCGCGCTCGGCCTGTCTCGAATCTTGAACCGAACCGATCGCGGACGCTGCTTCGCGTACCAGACCTTGGCTCCTACGCTCCTACCTATCTCTGCCTATTTACTATAAAGCGTCCGTACTATGCCATTCATCGATTTTCGATCATTGACGCGTCCGCGCGTACACCCACGCGTACACGTATACGTCTCCCTTTTCGCGCTATCTTTGCAAATTTCGAAGCAGACGTCGCGATTCGCAGCCACGCGTCCCGGTAATCTTTAGTTTATTCGGTAAACAGGGACTCCTGGTTTTACGTTGGAAGAGGCGATTAAACCGGTCTTCCGAAAGTACGATTGTCTTGAAATTCTGTCGAGAAAATATACATAGCTATACATATTTCGCGTATCCCGCCTTCGCGTTCAGCAAACTTGTGTTATTTCGGTCCGGCGCGGCGGCACGGCAGCGTGCTCGACCATTTCACGCGTACAATTTTTACAGGTCGAGGAGTGTCGCAACTTACGACGCGACGAGTCGAGTCGAGTCGGAATCTTATTCAAGTTCGTTTCTTTCCTTTCTTCTATTTTTCTTTTCCGCCCGAAAACGCCGATCGGCTCGTGGCAAACGACGATGAGATTCCAAATTCGAAGGAGAAACGGTATCGCCGAGGTGCGTGTACCTCGTGTACGTCGGATAATACGGAATATCGGCAATAATTGGGAAAAATTCGTTCCTCTCGTCCTATTTTCACGCGTGCCACTCGGCTTGCTCTCTACCCCTGTTTCACCTTCGTTTTAGAATCGGATAAACGGTCGACGGCACGATTGTGTTACCATGCCAGACTCGAGAATAGCATCGGTCAGATGAAATACCGGAATACCAGACGTTTATCGAATATTCCATCTCTGCGGGCCCAAACCATGTGTTTGTATTATTATAATTCGGCGATGGGATATCAGAAAACCGAACGATCTTGTAGTCTCTGTGTTCTCCTATTTACGCGAGTGCACTCTTCTCTCTCGAGAAGTCTCGTTGTCACCGATTCGTTTGGTTTTTCTGTCGTCGAGTCGAAATCAAAATCGATCGCTCCTACCAATTCCTGTATCTGTCCGTACTTCGTACACTCGACAATTTTGCGATCGATGAATAAAAAAAAGGATATCCAAACTATTATCGAACCGAGGCGTTACAGATTGTAATCGATAATTTCAATTTGTTCTAAACAAACGTGGTATATTACCCGTTTTTTGTTCAATTATGCATTTGTTCGGAAGAACTTGGGCGTTCTCGGAACGAATGAAAATCATCTACGATCGTATTAAAGAACAATAGGGTGAAAATTGTACGAACGACGAGTGCGTACGAATCGAGAGGAGCCACGTATTCGCGTACATCGTACGCGTAGGAATTTTCTACGTTTTTTTCAAGTTAGAGCACCCAACGAGTAACCAGTTCGCGTTTTCATATTCGAAACAGCTGTCTCGATGCGCGCGTCTCTAAAACTCGTAGGAGGTCGCTACATTCGTCGACCTTGCTTTGACTTTGCCGAGTCAAAGTGTTTCGGTGATAAAACGAATCGAAAGGTAGTCGAGAGTTTTGTCGCAAGTTGCTGCACCGAACAGAGGTTAACCGAGTTGAAAAAGCACAGGAACGGAGCATCGAGAATCGTCGAGAAGAGCATCGTTTCGAAAGCGAGACATTTAAATAGTAAAACTATGGCGTTCAATATGCTCAGCATCGATAAAGTGGATCTGACGGACAAACGGGTTCTGATGCGGTACACATATCCTTTAATCGTACCTCTCTCGACTTCAATTCCGTGCGCTACTAAACTTTTCACGCATCGACGAGACCTTGCGTCGACATTCTCGCGTATTCTTCGATTTTGATGTACAATGTAACCTCAACGCGATGCGAGATACTCGGAAGCCGGTTGAAGAATTTCGAATTCCTCTAAAGAAACGAATATATGTCACCTACCGACAAGTTTATTTATAATGTTGCTACACATGCGAATAATGTAAAATATATATTAGTTGTAATCGTGTTTCAGCGTGGACTTCAATGTGCCATTAAAGGAAGGCAAGATAACCAACAACCAACGAATCGTTGCTGCATTGGATACTGTCAAATATGCTCTTGAGAAAAAAGCGAAGAGTGTTGTATTGATGTCGCACTTGGGTCGCCCAGATGGTAAACCAGATATGAAATATACTTTGAAACCGGTAGTGGAAGAATTGAAAACGCTACTTGGAAAAGAGATTTTGTTTTTAAACGATTGCGTCGGACCGGAGGTGGAAGCTGCTTGTGCGAATCCTGCACCTGGAACCGTCATCTTGTTAGAAAATTTGCGATTCCACATCGAGGAGGAAGGCAAGGGAGTTGGCCCCGATGGAAGCAAGGTATAGAGGAGAGTTGTCTTCGACGTTCCGATCTATATCAATTCGAAGTAAGAAACTCTAATCAAATTTCTCTTTCTCCCAGATAAAAGCGGACAAGGAAAAGGTCGCGGAATTCCGAAAATCTCTCAGCAAACTTGGAGATATTTATGTTAACGACGCGTTCGGCACCGCGCATCGAGCTCATAGCTCGATGTTAGGGGAGGGATATGAAAAAAGGGCAAGCGGCTTTCTCTTAAAGAAAGAATTAGATTATTTCGCCAAAGCGTTAGATAATCCCGCGAGACCATTTTTAGCGATATTAGGAGGTGCCAAAATTGCAGATAAAATACAATTAATAAATAATATGTTGGACAAAGTCAACGAAATGATCATCGGCGGTGGAATGGCGTATACTTTCTTGAAAGTATCCAAAAACATGAAGGTGAATATCGCGAAACGCGGTACTCTCATTTACTTCTAATTAACGCACGATGTTTCCCGTATTAGATAGGTAATTCGTTGTTCGACGAAGAAGGCGCGAAAATAGTCAACGATCTATTAGCGAAAGCAGAGAAGAACAAGGTTCAAATACATTTACCGGTTGACTTTGTTACCGCGGATAAATTCGCGGAAAATGCAGCTGTCGGTTCGGCAGACATAGAGAGCGGCATACCCGATGGTTGGATGGGTCTCGACGTTGGACCTAAGACGAGAGAATTATTCGCAGGTAAATAATATATCTCGGCAACGAGCTTTTCCACTTTCCATTTGTACCTATGACGTGGCGGATACTTTATCGATATACGATTTGCAGAATCGATCAAAAGAGCAAAGACCATTGTATGGAACGGCCCAGCAGGCGTGTTCGAATTTGAAAATTTCAGCCAAGGTACAAAGAGTCTGATGGATAACGTTGTGAACGTTACGTCGCAGGGCGCCATTACCATTATAGGGGGCGGCGATACAGCCACGTGTGCCGCTAAATGGAAAACTGAAGATAAAGTGAGCCACGTGAGCACTGGAGGCGGTGCCAGTTTAGAACTTCTCGAAGGCAAAATTTTGCCGGGAGTCCAGGCTCTTACTCCAGCGTAAATTAGCAACTTTTAAATGTACCAGTTGGTGTTAAGACTTTAAAGGACATCGGTCGTGTCAGAGTCGAATGTTCGATCGAATAGATAAAACATCTAATAACCTTCTAACAACGGTAATATTGTTGTATACAAAATTTCCGTATAAAAAATATTGTATTCTGTGAAACATGACTGTTGCTTCTCCACGTGAAATATGTATGTCGAAAGAGATACGAGAGTTTGCTTTTGTAGGAATGTATCGTATACGCTACGCAATGACTGTCGGAGTAAGAAGTAAATCGAAATCGACACCTATCCGTAAAAAGATCGGTTTGTTGATAGACGAAATGTAAAGAGTTCTTTTAACGAAACGTTAAACACAAATATAAATTATTTAGATTAAATAAAATATTGAGTTATTACAGATTTTATAATATATTAAAATATCATTTAAAACAACGGAATCTTATTTCCCACAAGTTAAAACGTACAATTACAAAACGCGGGATTCAACATAATTCCATTCTAGTAACTTTGTATGCGTGTGGACACTTATATGTACACACATATATGTAGTATCTATGTACAAATTGTAAATCGTACAGCACGCTTGCGCGCATTTCAATTCATTTGCTGACTCGAATCCTTCCTCGTAATATTATCAACGGGAATAGTATTGTTCTGTATTAAATACATCACCGGCTGTACGTACAATTAAAATTTACACGTTTAAAATATTTTTGTGTTACAAGCCCCTATACGGGTTTAGACTGATTCTTCTTCCTGTGAAATGATTTCGAAGAATTGTTTATCGTTTACATTAATTGACAATTTTGCGACGAATCCATGCCGCGGAGTACCGCTGGAATAATAGGATCTCCTTCTGCATCGAGTTGAAAAGGCATTGTTTGTTCACCCACAAGTTCTTCCGGTAATTGTCCGCATCCTTGTACTTCTTGCATCAGCGACGTCACAGTCTCGAAACGTTTCTTTTTCGTTTCTTTCGTATCTTCGTCTTTTTCATTTTCCAATTCGGTACACACCTACAAAAACGATATTCGATTATAATCGACCGTTGTATTTGACATTTTTCTGCTGCTCACCTGTCTCATTAATTCTAATTGTTTATTAAATCTTTGTAGATCGTTGTCCGATAACGAAGATCTTTTTCCTTCCAACCATTCAGGATACTTATCTACCAATTCTTTCAACGACGGATACAAAATTTCTTTGGACAGCAAATGTTGCAGCATTCCTTGCATGATCGGTAGAATACCACCGGGTCCATCATCCAGAGATACTTGCCCAAACATTTCCGAAATATCAGCTTCGTTCTACAATATCGTTGTAGGAGACTTCTTGTCAGAATCAAAATGTTTAATTAAACAAAAGATCCGTGTTGTAAACAACTACCTGTAACGTTTCGGATGTTGCAGACAAATCGTTTAATGCTTGAGCGATAACACTTTCGAAATCTGTACTTGCGCTGCCTTTATCGGTGTTACCTTCGTCCGATACTACGCTCGAAAGTGTTTGTGCCATTCTTTTTAAAGAAGCACCCAATTCGCTATCGGCTCCTAATAGAAAAATATTAAAATAGTGTCCTTTCTAACAATTTCATAAGTCTTTACCATTCTTAATTAAATTTTGTATATTCTCCTCGAATTGATCGGCAGCTTCTTCGATGACGTCCGCGGACCAGGTATCCTCTAATGTTTCGAAAGTATCATCGTCCGTCCCAGGCGTCAAAGATTTCTTTTTCTCGCTTACTTTACCTACCTTCTGGCCTTTGTTGCAATCCTTTAGAACACCTATATAACATTACAATTACAGCATATATCGTATCCAGCAGTTTGCCGTCTGTTTAGAGCAGAACAATATTAAAATAGTATTTTTTTTTCAAACGTCTCACAAATCTTTACCATTATTTATTAAATCCTGTAGATTCTCCTTAAACTGGTCAACAGCTCCTTCGGTAATATTTGCAGTCCAAGCATCTTCTAACGTTTCAAAATTTTCCTCGTCCGTCGTAGCTGTCAAAGACTCTTTTCTATCATCCGCTTTATTTACTTTTTGTTCTTTGTTGAAATCTTTCAGAGCACCTACAATATTATTATTGTAATGACAACAAGAAATATTCATAATACTGTAACTTTAATAAGACTAGAATTTCATTTCTTTTCGAAGAATTACATAACAAAGCAATTATTTTCAATTCAAATCATCGATGACTTTGCAAATTCTTATAACAATCAGAAATTATTTATACCTTTTTTTATATTAAAGCTTTCAACAGAGAAAGCTCGTATCGACTTTTACTACTAAACGTATTGGTAGGAATAAAAAAACAAAAACACAAAGCATTTGTTCCATATTTTAGGTTATAAAATTTCTGAATTATATTTACTTAACTAAATTTTGGTAAACAAAAGAATTACTTACTGT